CCTGCAAAGTACATCAAGAGGTGGAGAAAGTTAAACTTTAATCAAAGAGATCGATGAATCCGTATTCGACATGCCGTCCGTCGACTTTCATCTTATGTGTGGCGTTCGAAGTGTTTTACGTCTACTTTCTCGCTACGGAGTAGAGAGAATGTTATGAAATGCTGCGTGTAAAAAATAAAGGCAAATTTTCGACAAAAAATCTTATCGCTGGGTCCTGGTAACGAAAACGTGGATAAATCCAGTGGCTAAATTTTAAAAAAATCCTTCGTTACGTGTTGTAGCCAGGATTCAAGTTCTGTGGGTCCTTGATAATCGATTGACGGCTAGCGGCTAAACCCTTTAGCAGTTATTCACCGAAACTGATATTCCTTAACCGATCTGGTTCACGCCGCGACCCCTTTATTTTTTAACCGATACTTAAGTGATTTTTTGAGGGGTATCTTACAAGACTTACGTACACGAAGCCTCTAGGACATTTTCCGAATTTAAAAAAAAGTGAGTTCCTGCTGCAGAAAAAGCTGATAATTGTTGCAGCTATTGTAGTAAATTGTTTCCTCTAATACGTTGCATTGTCGCAATCTAAGGTTTTGTGCGTCGTTGATCCCCAAAAATTGATTTACGGAAAAAAATATCCATATGTCCGCCCCTCCGTCTGTCCGCCCCTCCATCTGTCCGCCCCTCCATCTGTCTGCCCCTCCATCTGTCCACCTCTCCATCTGTCCGACCCTCCATCTGTCCGCCCCTCCATCTGTCCGCCCCTCTGTCTGTCCGTCCGTCCATCTGTCTTTCAGTCTGTTTACCCGTTTGTCTCTCTGTCCGTTCGTCCGTTCGCCTGTCCGTCTGTCTGTCCGTCCGTCCGTTTCTCCGTTCTCCCGTCTGTCCCCCAACACCAGTCAGGGTGAGTGAGAAGTTAGCTTACTAGTCTCTGAACCCCCAGCGCGAGGATACGATCCCGGTTGAGGTGCCCGGAGTTTTTGAAAGGGGGAAAATTCACAGTAGTCATGTCACACTTGGGCACGTAAAAGAACCCTGGCGGTATGCCCGGCAAACTTCAATGCTCTCCGACAACAGCCGGTTTAACGCGATCTCACTTTCAACCAGACAGCTCGGGACCGACATTTGGCGAAGACGTTGAGAGCCAAATCCAGGCGTATTTAGGGGAGCGCCCGCGAGGTGCACCTGCTTGATAAAGGCTCCCAGACCCGCGTCTGAAGGTAGGTTTCCAAGAAAACCTGGGTCGAAAAACTCGGGTGTAGAACAACAGCATAAAGCAGTCACCCCACAAAATAGTCGCCAACCATACGTAAATAATCAGCGTCTAAACCGTTCAGGCGATTTTCTCCAAAACTGAGTCTGCCCGGAAGATCTTGCCGAACTGAATGCGCTGCTATATTGAAAAAAAAAATATTTTTGAGAGTACTGCACATGTAGCCTCAACCAGATTTTCAAAATTTTCTCAAAATGTATTCATTTTTTTCTTTACATTTTATGACGAATAATGTAAAGGACTCTGATAAATATAGCAGAGGATCCCGTTTTCGTTAAAATCTTTGAATGCAAACCATTAACATTTTTTGGTGTCTACTACTATATTATTAACATAATTATTTCTCGATGAAATCTGTCCTTTAAAATTACATATTTAAAGAAAGTCACGTAATTGTTTTGAAAATATGAGAAGTTTTGGTACATCTTTGTCTGAAAAAAAGTCAAATTTAAACAAAATTTCTCAAAAACGGCTCAATTTTTATCTTTCAATTTTTTCGAGTTAAACACAGCATGTTTATAAAATAGTGCAAGTTCCATTATCATTGAATTCGGTGCATTTTCATAAATTTACTCAAAAAGTTAAATTTTTTCAGCGTGTTATTATAACTATAATATCAAAAAGGGAGATTTCTTAATGAAATCTTTCCTTCAAAATTAATTTTTTTAAATAATAAAAAATCATTTGAAAATGTGACATTTCGTGTACTGTTATCTTTACATATCATGCGAGAAAGTTTGTGATGTGTAACACTAGTTCATTTTCAAATTTAATTAAAAGTTAGTATTAAATTATTTTCTCCTTTGTTTAGAGATCTGATTGTGCTTATCCCAAGCGTAACATGCCGAAACTACCCAGAATCTGTGCAAAGAAAACCCTCTGATAATATCATAGAGGAAAGATGCTTTTCCTATAAACAGGTATTGCCAACTCTGCAGCGAACAGGTGGGCACGAGCAGTTCCGATCCTTGACAAAGTTCTACCTAAAGGTATCACAAGTTCATGAGGGCGCGCGTCGCTCGAGGCCTCGAAAGCAAGCCAGCGCGAACGATCGAGAATGGAATGAGTTTTATCTGTCTCTACTAATGAGAATAATGACTACAGAATCGACGTGTCCAAAAACAACAATGAATCGATCAATCGCTTTGTCGAAGAATGGCGTTTTCTCTGGTTTCGTGCAATACTTTGTTATGTAATGTGCCACAATTTGCACATTATGGCAAAGCGTGCATTAACAATAGCCACCTTTCATATTATTCTAGTAACATAATTAATGACGAAAGTCATGTATAAAATAATTCATTTACGTATTTTGTTTGTAAGAACAACAGAAAACATGAAAATAGCGTCTATGTCATGTTCTACAGGGTATTTAATACAAACCTGACATTTTTTTTAATTTAAGCGAAAAAATTGATTTAATTAAAATTGATTGTCCCTTGCGCTTCCAGATAAGAACCTTCAAAATTTTTTTAAATAGCAGTGCATCCAGTCGATGCACATTGACCGGGGTTTGTTTATTTCAGCAAGCATTTCTACAAATACTTCTGACACTGGTAATACTTACAGATTGATTAACGGACGGTCAGACAGAAATATAACTTCTCCAAAAATATACATATGTATATTCGTCAATATCTTAAAACTGATTTCCCGCAACATTACATTCACTCTATACTAGACTACTCCGTACTCCATACGTACGTACACGTGAATGTATAAACGGAAGTATATACTCACTGAAAGAAAACTGGGGGAAATATGGTATCATTTTTATTCTATGACGATCTTGCGGAAAAAAAGTTTGAGCCATTCTAGAAGAAGAATAAACGGCCAACTTTTTTGCTAAGGCTTAAGGATATCAGTAATTTGAAACTCTTAAACTTATTTAGTTGAGACCAAAAGAGATAATGCGCTATAGAAAGCCATAAGCGTGAACGACACTTGGGTGTTCTTCGACAGCAGCTCCCGAAAGAGGAAGCTCCGTCAGCCGAGGACTCGACGTCCTCCGCCCTCGGCCGGACACTTCTTTCCGCCGCGAAATTAATTTTCTTCCGCCCTTTAGCCTCCGCGCTTTCAACGAGCAGCGACGGCAGCAGTCGGCCAAGAAAAAGTTTGTGTGACGAAAAGTATTCATACATCACTGTCTTCGCCAGAAGTTCAAATAGCTTTCGTTTCAAGACTCGGACTCGCAGTTTCTTTGAATGCGAGAAAGTTCCCAGACACATGATTAGCACGCAGACTTTGATATCATTATCAAATTTCGCGCCGCCACTCTGGAGCTCTTCGCGACTGTTGGCTGAAGCGCAGCGGCTTTCAATACGTTCGCCGCCGCCCGCCTCGCCTTGCGCTTCGCCCACTCGCCGATTCCGTTTGAACAACGGTAGCGGTGGCGGGGGCGGGGGCGGCGGCGCCACGGACAAAGGGGAGATACACTCCCTCCAGCTCGTCACAGAGCACAAAAGACGGCACTGGAGGAAGAACCTCATCTATCAAAACAAGGAAGAGACAGATCTAACGAGAATTAACGGAGTTAATTACAAGACTCGCACTCGGCGATGAGGCGTTCCACAAGTAGCTCTCGGGGGGCCTCCGCCGGGAGCCTCCGCTGGCAAGAAGACAGAAGACGACGCAGCGTCTGGGCCACCTATTGCCTCTTCTTGCAGGCTTCGCCGCCGCCCGGGGCCTTCTTGCGACCCGTCCCACCGCTTCTGCTGTTGCTGGGCGGGAAACGGGATTCGCAACCGGGAGAGTAATTAGATTAACCCAACTTTCACCCAAGCACAAATTATACTACTCTTTTTTTGTAAAACAGAATGCAATATTTTCGACTAGTGGAAATGTATATTTAGAAAAGAGATTTCGTTCAGAAATTACGAAAAATCATGAAAGTACTCAAACAATTATATCTAGGGAAATGCATCAGAATGACAGAGATTAAAACAGGTACGGCATCGCTCTTACATTACTCTTCAATATCATGGTAAAGGAAGTCGGATATTTCTTTCAACAAATAACCTTTAACTTAATAAAAGTTCAGTTAATAACAGGTAATTGTCTTTATTAGAGCGTGGAAGTTTGGCAAAATGACATTTTGTTATAGTGTTTTTAAACATTTTACAATACAAAGAATTTAATTGTACTTCTGAAGTTCTTTTATTACATTTTTATTTCACTTTCGTTTAGCCTATTTTAGCTTTAGATTTTCATTTTTATTATTTTACCGTTTTTACATATTTTTTTCTTTTTTCCTGCTGGCACTAGTCTTGGTCAAGCTGGAAACATCTGACATTCTGAACAACACGAAGATACGGTCATGTTGTGTCTATCGGTGAAAGAAGAGATTCTAGGGACAGTTAGTGCCAAATATCTAAATGAAAAAGATGATACCAGTGTTTTTTTTTCGTTGGCCGCCAGGTTATGTTTATTCAAAAACCCATCCTACTTTTGAGAATGGCCGCTGATCTCCTTTGTGAGAACAGAGTTACCTGTGTGTGCATAATATCCCTTTCTCAGTGCTGGTGATAACATAAGTGCGAGGAACGAAATTAAATTCCGTTTTTAGTGTTGTTGTTCCGTTGCCATTTCAATATTCAAGAGAGTCCGCAATAACATTTCGAACAGCTTTACGAGTAAAAGAAATGAATAGTCATCATATCGGACGGTCATGTCAAATCAAGATTACAAAGAAGAAATCGATTTCTTACGCATAAGTGCTAACAAACTTTAGAGTAAAAATGTGAATCGTTTTCATTAATTTTTTACAATCATTCCTTTTAAATGTGATTCTTTAGCCAGAATAAATATCTTTTTGCATGCCTATTTTACTAAAAATAAGGGTATTTTTGCCTTCCCACTTCTTGCCAAATTCATAGACGATATTCAAATTAAATGCAATAGCAAATGTTAATAATTAGACATAAATTTAAATGCTAAACGAAGAACGATTTTTACAAAATTGAGCTGCTACTGTGCGTTTCAATTCCATCATTATCAGAAACTTTTTATTACAAATTGATTAAAAGTGCAAAAATAATTCACATAAGTTTTACGTGAACATAAATGTCATCTCTATTTATGTTTAAAAAACATGATCCCCGTAAACCTACCTCCAGGCGCATTTAGAGAGTCGGAAGACTTACAGATCCTCTTTTTTCTCAGGTGTTCAACGTTTGGCAGAAATTTTCTACAATAGGAGAATATGGGTTCAACCATCACTCGGTCTTACGGATGAGAATGAAGATGGGTTAAGAAGTAAGGATCGCGCGCTGTGCGTGGTACAGCTGTTCTTGCGACCTGGAATTCACTGCAGGAAACTATGGACCAGTCAGTAGAGCTAGCATCTGCAATACTCATCCACGCTGTGATAGGTTTCGAAGCTGTTACAGATTGGGGTAGAAAATCATTCCGAAGACTGAATTCGAACCTCGAACTTTCCGAATCACGAATTCATTTGCGGTCTGGCAATTACACACCCTGTCAGAGATAGTTTTCAGCTTCATATAAAAGCTATAAATTGGGAAATCAAAATGTCTTACTTTTCCGCAAACACGTTTAAAACGTTTAATGTACACCAAGACGAGAGTTGACTTCGGTACATTCGCAATTTGCACTTCGCACTTGGCATCGGTCGGGGACCGAGTTGGCTCCCAGGGGGCCCATCGGCTGGCCCGCTTGTTCGCTCGTTTGCGCCTGGCAGGGCGTGGGCGTGGGGCGAGGATGGGGATAAGTTAAGTTAAGTTGAGTTAAAGTTAAATTAAGTTAATTTGTTACGTAGTTAAGTGAGTTAGTTATTAAGTAAGTTAAGTTAAGTTAAGTAAGTTAGAGTTAAGTAGGTTAGGTTAGTTAAGTTAAGTTAAGTTAAGTAAGTTAGGTATAAGTTAAGTAAGTTAAAGTTAAGTTAAGTTAAGTTAAGATTAAGTTAAGTTAGGTTAAGTTAGTTAAAGTTAAGAAAGTTAAGTTAAGTCAAGGTAAGTTAAGTTGTTCAGTCAGGGTCAAGTTAAGTTAAGGTTAAAGTATTAAGTGTAAGTTAAGTAAGTTAAAGTTAAGTTGAAGTTAAGTTAAGTTAAAGTTTAAGTTCCGGTGGTAAGGTTAAGTTAAAGTTAAGTTAAGTTAAGTAAGTTAGGTTCAGTGAAGTTAAGTAAAGTTAATTAAGTTAAATTAAGTTTAAGTTTAAGGTTAAGTTAAGTTAAGTTGAAGTTAAGTTTAAAGTTAAGTTAAGTTAAGTTAAGTTAGTTTAGGTTAAGTTAAGTTAAGTTAAGTTACAGTTAAGTTAAGTCAAAGTTAAGATTAAGTGAAGTTCAGTTAGGTCAAGGTTAAGTTAAGTTAAGTTAAGTTAAGTTAAGTTAAGTTAAGTTAAGTTAAGTTCTAAAAGTCCGTTAGTAAGTTAAGTTTAAGTTAAGTTAAGTTAAAGTTAAGTAGTTAAGTGTAAGTTTAAAGGTAAGTTAAGCTTCAGTTAAGTTAAAAGTTAAGTTAAAGTTAAGTTAAATTTAAGTGTAAGTTAAGTTTAAGTTTAAGTTAAGTTAAGTAGGTAAAGTATAAGTTAAGTTAAGTTAAGTTAAGTTAATTAAGTTAAGTTTAAGTTGAAAGTTAAAGTTAGGTTAAGTTAGTTAAGTTAAGTTAGTTAAGTTAAGTTCAGTTAAAGTTAAGTTAAAGTTAATTAAAGTTAAGTTAAGTTAAAGGTAAGTTTAAGGTAAGTTAAGTTAAGTTAGTTAAGTTACGTTAAGTTAAGTTAAGTTAAGTTAAGTAATTAAGTTAAGTTTAAAGTTAAGTTAAGGTAAGCTATAAACGTATAAGTTAGGTAAGTTAAAAGTTAAGTTAAGTTAAGTTAAAGTTAAGTCAAGTTAAGTTAAGTTAAGTTCAGTTAGGTTTCAATGTGAAGTTAAGTTAAGTTAAGTTATGTCTAAGTTAAGTTAAGTTAAGGTTAGTTAAGTTAAGTAAGTTCCGCTTAAGTTAAGTTAGTTAAGTTAAGTGTAAGTTGAGGTTAAGTTAAGTGTAAGTTAAGTTAAGTTTAAGTTAAGTTACGATAAGTTAAGTTAAGTTAAGTTAAGTTAAGTTAAGTTAAGTTAAAGTTAAGTTAAGTTAGTTAGTAAGTAAAGTAAGTAAAGTTAATTAAGTTAAGTTAAGTTAAGGTTAAGTTTAAAGTTAAGTTAAGTTAAGTTAAGTTTTAGTTAGTAAAGTAAAGTTAAGTAAAGTTAAGTGTAAGCTGAAGTAAGTTAAGTTAAGGTCTAAAGTTTAGTTTAAGTAAAGTAAAGCTAAATTATAGTTAAGGTTAAGATTAAGTTAAGTTTAAGTTAAGTTAAAGTTAAGTTAAGTTAAGTTAAGTTAAGTTAAGTTTAGTTTAATTTAAAGTAAAGTAAAGTTCTCAGTTAAGTTCAGTTAAGTTAAGTTAGTTCAGTTAAGTTAAGTTAAGTATAGTTAAGTTAAGTTAAGTTAGAGTTAGTGTAGTTAAGTTAAGTTAAGTTCAGTTAAGTTAAGGTTAAGTTAAGTAAAGTTAGAGTTACAAGTCAAGTTAAGGTTAAAATTAGTTTAGT